CGCGGTGGACCAGAGCGCGCCCGCGTCCGGCGAGCGAAGGTGACCTCCTTCCAGCGGGGAAAACCTTCGCCTCCGCACCCGCGTCGCCGACGGCCACGGCGGCACCTACCTGAAGCTGTAAAAAGTGTAAAAAGTAAATATACAGAATAATAGTTAAAAAAAAACAAAGAAAAAAACAAAAAGGAAAAAAAAGGAAAAAAAGGGAAGGAGGGAAGGAGGGAAGGAGGGAAGGAGGGAAGGAGGGAAGGAGGGAAGGAGGGAAGGAGGGAAGGAGGGAAGGAGGGAAGGAGGGAAGGAGGGAAGGAGGGAAGGAGGGAAGGAGGGAAGGAGGACTCGGTCACACCAAGTTGCTCGTGTAGATTACCGCCATGGACAAAGAACAAGCAATACTCCATGAGCTCAGAGAAATAAAAGGCAGTCAAGGTTGCCTATAGGATTCTGGTTCATTTATTGAGTACGTGACAGATAAGACAGACAGACTGTAAAATCACATGTATTATTTGTACTTTTAAAAAATTACAATAAATTACTGAATAATTAGTAAAAGCAGTTTTACTAATGGCTCCTCTCCAGCGATACAGCACAGAGGAGGCAGAGAAATAAGAAATATGTACCAGCTGTGAATACATACAGAGAATGTCACAAGGAGGAATTAACACTGAGTAGCACACCGAGTAGTGTTAAATGGGAACATCCAACCGTACGTGTCCTTCCCATCCTTTATATTCCAAATGCCAGCCAAAAGCTGTAGCAAACCTTGCCTTCAGTGCAGGGTCTGCTCTCGCCGAGCAGCAGCATCTCTCGCTCCAGCCCTGCGAGGCAGATGCCTGCATAGTGAGATGAATTTATCTGTAGAAACAGCATTAATTCTCCTTCCTCGGAGCATACGCCCTACTACCAGAAGGCTAACTCTTAGTTTCTTCTGGTCTTAACTGATTTAAAAGAGCAGTCACTCAGTCTCCCAGTTATTTTGTCTCTAACTGGAAAGAGATCTAGTCTATTGAGGTTTCCCGTAATGGGCTGATGGCAGAGGGCCACACTGCTTCGAATTCTTCCTCTTTAGGTATAAATGCCCTTTGATGTGTAGTAGTTTCTAAGAGCACATCCATTGCTAGACTCCTTGTACAGGAGATGTTCAGAAGGGACACACTGAGCAGCTGCAGGTGGCACAACACTCCTGCACATCTTCCTGCCCTGAGCATTTGCGAGGGCTGACTGATCAGAGCATTCTCAGGGGTCCTCCTAAAAACTGGGCCCATCACTAGTTAGTAAAAACAGAGAATCAGCAAGAAACAATGAATGTTTTCTGTACCAACAGGGAAAGTCCAGCAGACCAGTGTGCCACTGCCCTGTAACACTGAGGCTGATTCACCGACTTCTAGTTTAGGAACATATTCCCTCATTACAACCGTCATGACCCATTGATTGACTTAATATTACTTCTGCACTGAAGTCAAGGAGCTTGTGGCTTCCCAGACCAACTAAAAACAATGGCTTTCAAAGAATTAGAAAAGCAAATGCTAGAAAACCAGGTTTGTCTGAAAACTCCTGAATGCTGAAGGAGAAAAAGAGGTGGTCATACACTACGAAAATGCCAAATCACATCTGAAAGAAACCTGCAGATCTGAGAAATGTCTGTGTTTACACCTTAGGGTGCTGGGAGCAGTGGGGCACATTTGCATTATAGCTGCTGAGTCACAGAACAGCACTGAAGAACTGACAAGACTACTTATAGGTCAGGGTCCTACAGCACTTGACTACACTGCATTAGCTCTCAGACTGGCAGCCAGAGGTGAACGTGGTTTCAAGCCAGGCTGCATCTGCTGTGCAAGTTACCCAGGAACCTACAGCAAACAAGGGCAGGCAAGGAGCAGTAACTGTCTGAAATAAAACTTCATTAAAATAAAAGATAGCAAAAGGCAGACATGCATAATTTATGGTGGTAATTCCATATGTCAGGGGCTATTAGGTTCTAATGGCTCTTGAGAATGTAAATCTAATTCTGTCAGCCAGAGTAGCCAAAGCAGCACCTACACAAAACAGTCACTGTCAGAAGCCCCGTATCGATTGGAATCTATTGTAATTGTGTAGCTACTGGTCTCTGATTAAACAAAACAATACCCCAAACACAAAATACCAAACCATCTTGCCATCTGCCGCATTATCTCCCTGTTTTATCTCCCAAAGACAATTCCTGCTTTCTTGAGTTCACCCTGACACAGAGGAAAGTTCATAGTCACTGGATGAACTGAACTGCCTCTCTACCTTCTTCTGATCTTTGATCTTTTGCAGAATGTTGACCTTTTTCTCAAAGTAGTTTACAAGGGCTGCTTCCGTCAGCATGGAAGCTAAGATCTGCTCAAAGGAGATAGACCAGTCAGTATCAACGGTACTGCCATACCGGGCAGCTGAACTACTGCCTTCACAACCAACCAGGACCGTGTCATCTGCAATGTCTTCACACTGCAGGGAGCCTGTGCTGACCATGGAGTAGGAAGACATCGACATATCATCTTTGGTTTCATCATCTGATAGCAGCTGTAAAGGAGAGCCTTGTCCTTCCCCTGACCCATCTCCTAGAGTTTGGTTCTCCTGCTGTGTTTTTTCAGGCAGAGCATCTCCACAGGTTTTGTCCTCATGGTCAGCTAGGGGTTGCTGCTCCACTGCTGAATTCTGACTCTGTTCAGATATTGGTGACTCCTCTTCACTCACAGGATCTTGGGTATTGTTTGCTTTGCCATCCTCAGACTTCCTTATGGGCCTGTTGGAGAATTTTTTCCCAACCTCCCCAATTCGCAGAAGGAGACTGGCTACGGTGGCAATTGCATGGTACAGCTCTTGCTCCACTGGGTCCTCACTGAACATGTTGTAAAGGGTCTTGCATAACTCTATGAATTGTTCCTTTAAAAGACAAAGACCAAAAAATCATACTTCAGGCTGAAGAAAGTTGACAGTGGTAGCTCATAGAATCATAGAGTATCTCAAGTTGGAAGGGACCCATAAGGATCACTGAGTCCAACTCCCTGCTCCTTGCAGGACTACCTAAAACAAAACCATACGACTAAGAGCGTGGTCCAGACGCTCCTTGAGATGAAGCAACAGGCATCATCATGACTGACTCCATGTTTATCTGCCTCCCCACCAAGTAAGTGGCAACTTACTGTACTGATTCAGAACAGTCCAATACAGGCAAACTTCTCTCTCTGCTGTAGTGGCTAAATTGAGACACAGCTAGCAATTTAATAGTGGTGTTTTTTTTGCTGACAGATGAACAGAGTACTCACATATTCACATCTGAGAAAACCTAAAGTTTTACTTCTGTCCTGCTACTCTTTTGTGGTCAGCTTTTAAGCGTTTCCAAACTGGTTTAAGCAGCACCCATCAAGGAAATTAGAGACAGAAAAGATCACACCAGTCATCAGACGCTCTTTCCTGTAACCACATTCTTCGCTCTCCACCAAGCAGCTGTAACTCGAGGCAATACAAAACCAAAAAAGCCAAACAAGTTTATATGACTGATGGCGTATTTGAAACATACTGCTCTGGAGAGAAAACATAGATCGCAGTTCTTATAGGAAAAATAGGAGGCAGAGAGAATCAGATACATTTGATTTGTGGAAACAAAGCAGTTTGTCCATGTCCACTGAGGAATTCAACACAAACGTGTGGAATTAGAGGCTTCTAAAGCTCACCAGACCAGAACAGCAGGGCAACCTACAGGCAAGGACTCAGTATGCTGGCAAAATGGCTGCACATACTGCTGAATTCCCCACTAAGCTGTCAGTCATCTAACTGGAAACCTTCACATTCACTTCTTACCTGGCTCATTTTTGGGAGATCTTTAATGGTTTCTTTCCTGGACTCTTTTTCCTTGGCCCACATTCTTAGGTAGTATTTATAGTCCTGTGGACTGGTACCTTTCTCCTCTGCAAGGCAAGACCAAGCCACTACTGTCAGGTGGTTAATGGTTTCAGACTTAAAAAGTGAATGCTGTGCCAGCAAAAATCATGCTGGAAGCAGGTTTTATTGACAGTTCAGGAAAGCATCTACCAGGAAGGCTTCATTGTTTTCTGCTGGTTTATCTGATCCAGCTCAGTGGAGCAAAAATTTTAACACTGCTGATTCAGCTTGACTTCTCATAAATAAGCTCTATGAGTTGGCAACTTACCAAACATGATTTACAAATGTTATGATCTTGGTATGTAAAAGAGTCAGAGCAGTAAGGCATAAGAAAGATTTATGTTCATATTATGAGAGAGACAAGACAAGAATGTGGTCTATTTATGATGAAATTACCTTTTTCTGGACCGTTCTCATTTCTCCTTCCTTTATCTTCTTGGGTTTCTAAAAAGATTATGGAATTATAAAAGATTGATTAATAGCTGATTTTCAGCAATGCAATACAACACATGAAGAACATAAGACAACTCATATACAAATTAAAATCATACAAGAATGTATTTAATAGCAGTTGGATCTCACACTCCCACATCATGTTTGGAGGACTGAACGGAACAGGATGGAAGCAAGAGGCTGATGTGATGAACTGGATAAAAAGCCACACTGAAAAAGTGGGTTGAAGAGCTGAGGTAGAGTGCAGAACTCTCAAATGAAAGGGTAAAACATAGATATGAAAGACAGCTAAGCAATGTGATGGCTTAAAGACAAAGAAGTTCAGCTATCCAGAGCAAGATAATGAATGGGGAAAAAACCAAACCACCACTGAGCACATATGTGACTAATATCTACACTCACCGTTATTCACTGACTGAACTGACACTTGGGGAGTAATTTGCAGAGTCTAACTTCACGAACTTCACTTCTGGTTCCCTATATTGTCACTAGACTTTATAGGAAATCTTGGCTCAACTCAGACCGTTAAGTTAGCCACCTAGCACCAAACAACACAACTACTTACTCACTCACTTTTTTTTTGAGCATTATTATATTTTGGTAAGCATTTAGCACAAATGACATACTTTGACCTCCTATTTGACAATACCTGAAATTATATTTTAATACATACAGTAAATTAGTCTACTAACCGTTTTACAACTCAATGGCATGCACCCTTATTCGTTTAAATTAGAAGACTGTGGAGGAGACACGGGTATCATCTACCCAGGCCAGCAAGCCTAGCACCGCCCCCCTCTGCTCTGAGCATATCTTCCCCCTGCCAGTTTCTAGGGTGAGATAAACTCCACTGAAAGAAGCCAGACAAAACCTATTTTGACCAAGGTTGAAACACAATAGGTAGAATATACTAAAAGGTATCTTATTACTTATAGCACTTTATTCATAGTGGGAGTGTCATGAGAGAGGAGCAGCAGCAACAACTTCAGAGTATTTAAAATAGCACATTGGTGTGGGCAGATGATATCAGCAGTATAGCCATGCTCAATGCATACACATAATCCATGGACTGACCTTGAGACTCACAGTGCAGGCAGAAATCCAGCTCTGAGACAAAAGGAGATACTTGAGCAGCAGAAAAAGGGGTTGAGGGGACAATATCCCAGATAAAACAGAAGAAAAGGCCAGACATAGACAGACACAGAGAAGGAAACAAAAACAAGAAGAGAGACAATGAGACTTGCATGAAAAACCTAAATCATGGTGGGAGACAGGGGCTGGTAAAAGCACACTGCTCCTCCTCAGTAGTCTGTAACTGTGCTTCAGAGGGGTCCTGCATGAAATGGGCGCTGAGCAGTTTAAGCTCCAAACTTCTTTCCCATCATGCAACACAGATAGCGAACTCAAACACACTGGCAATCTTAACATACTGCTACCATGAGACCATGCTTTGCAAAAAATCACTATTCATAGCACATGGATTTGTGCTGCATCTCCTGCCTAAACTGAGAGGTAAAGGCAGCACTGTTGTATTACCTTCTGTTGTAACGTCCTCTGTGAAATAACTTGTGGCCTCCAAAGCAGACTCTGTCTCCTCTGGATTCAGAGCTGTATTTACAGAGAAGGAAATGTTAAGATCTCTAAGCTAATTGAACAGCAGTGTCACCCACTTCATTAGCAAAATTCATGAGGCATCCCTTTTGAATTGCATGTTAGAACAGACCATGCTTAATAGTAGCAATATATAAAAGCAATCACTCACCGGGAGGCAGATGCAGTTTGTAAAGTACTTTGAGTTTTTCAGTGAGGTCACCATGGTACATCCCACCTGCAAAGAAAAAAAAAGAGGTTAAGACAATAGCAATTAGGATAAAGAATCACTCTCTACTCACAGGGTAAACCAGAACTGAGTTCACATGCAATGAGGAAATGCTAACTGCGCGAAGCCCTGTGCAGAAGCAGTAAAGAAATCTACAGCAAAGCTGCATCTTGTCGGTTTGCCACCTATCGGTTCCCAAAACGGGAGACTGCCTAGTAGCAAAAAGGCATCTCTTGTTCTGCCTGAGGCTTCCTGTAAGGCTGTCACCCTCCCCTCATGACAGTGCAAACATCACTATCTCCTTTTAGTTCTCTGCTTGGAAAAGGACAGAAATAATTTTTGCAATATTCCATCATCTCCAAAACCACCACTTACTCATCCCTGTCACAAACTCCTTGAAGTTAATGAGAGAATCCCTGTTCTCATCCAGAAGCCGGAACAAACGCCCCGCTAGCACAGGCGTATGTGTGCCACAGGACCAGGGGGTCAAACTGATGAACAGCTCTTTGAACTGCTCCATGTCTATGCGATACTGCTCCAGGTAGGGCAAACTCTGATCTCGGCGGGCAGCTGCAGCACGATTATTTCCCCAGTAACAGCTCATCAGATACTTTGCCTTTGGAGGGAAAGGATGAATAGGTCAGATTATACTATACTACAACAATCCACGGGAATGGAGACTTTGTTATAGCTCAAGAACAGCATTGAGTAAGCAGAAAAGAGACATTTCAGGACACACTATTTATCTCTCCCATTATTCCTAGCATTACTTCACTACAAAATAGTACAAAATGAAGGAACAGACAGGGATTTCACGAAAAGCACGAAGAACAATTTTAAATGAAAAATACAAAAAACATGATTTCAGGTTTGAACAAAATGACACTCAGGCTTTACTGCAAAGGGAACACGCGTGTTTTAGAACTAAGCCTCTCTTTCTCAGTACAGCACAGTGCAACTGAGTTTGCATTCAGTTTGCAAAACTGATTGTCAATATTGATTTGCAAAACTCATTGTCAATACTTCTCAAGACAGAAGATTGAGATACCACACAAAGAACTTTGTAAACATGGGTGATAGAAATAAAATTAAATGAAACAATGCAAGTAGTAAAATTGTTGACCAAGGAGCTAATAACGAAAATGTCTGATACAAACTGGGACCTTATTAGGTAATTACTGGGAAGGAAAATTGTCTAGCTTTAGTAATTTCATCACAGTATGACAAAGAGGTCAATTCAGTCATGAGGAAATAATCTGGAACCTGTTTTTTTCTCCAACAAGGTAGTTTAAGCAGATAGTTGGGATTGTTGCCTCTGTTCAAAGACTTACTAGACTTGGTAAATGCAATTGGCTAATATCACTCTTTTAAAAATACATACATTGACAAATAGAGGCAACGCACTTAAGTAATTTTGTCACAGTTACAGAGCAAGTCAATAGCAAACTTGAGGAGAAAAATCGAGGTACAGTCAATCCTAGCTCCCCGTTCTAAGTGCTATGTGACATTCCTTTCCATTGACTCCCTGATCTCTTTCTGAATAAGTATCATTCAAATACTGCGAATGTGTTTTGGCAGAAGAGGGGGGAAAAAAAAACAACAACCAATCAGAGAGTAATAGGGCCAGTCTCACTGGCACCATGTATAACAGAATGCCACATCTGTGTCTGATAGGTTGGATTAAGAATCAAAGCAAAGTCACTGCTTCCCTTTCAACTTATTTTGATATTTGTTCTCTCTGTGTCAGAACACATTCTTCCTCACTCTGGCTTCTTACCTTGAACACTACATACAGCTCTTCCAGTTCTTCAATAGAGAAACCAATGTCACTAGACACAGCTCGGACCTATAGTTAGGGCGAAAACAAGAGTGAATAATTTGTTTCAAAGCTAGAAAAATTAAATATGACTCAATGAAAAAATCTGTGTAACACAGAAGAGAAGAAAACAAGTGCAAGGAGATATGACACAGGACGGGAGGAAAAACATAACCATTCTAATACCTCCCGTTGCTACGGATTACAGGTCAGGAAGACAGTTTCTGGTCAAGCAGAAACTGCTGACATTTTGAGCAGCTAGTAAAAATTACTGCGCTTATTTCCTGTTTGCGCAGACCTGACTGTGCACACTGTGTTGCTCCTCCCTCTTGTTTTTATCTTCATATGTTTGACCCAGATTGAAAAACAACAGTGAAAGAAACATGTGGATGAGGTTCTCCACCTAGGACATGGGAGATAATTGCAATAGATATGGATACTCCCCTTTGGCCATGAACCCTTCTGTAAAATTCCCTAATGTGCTAGCATACTCTCTAAATGGCAGGAGAACAATTATCTGCTAGCTAGCTTTCCTCAAAGATTCCAGGCAACCAGTAAAACAGACAGCACTAGGCAGTGGAGACTATTACAAGGCTTACAAGTGTTTTTTATCTCCCTCCATGCCAAATATCTCATTCAATCATGCCCTAGCACTTCAATCCATTTTATTAGATTAACTAGAACCATGCGAAGAAGAAACCTGAAAATCCATTATTCTAGCTGGTAAATCCATTTTTCACATGAACTGCAATTAAGTCACTTAAAACTGGGTCTGCTACAGCACAAACTTTCTAGATGCTTACAGCAAAACACATTCCATTAATATGCTGTTTGGTAGCTCATTCAATCTTGGAGTCACATACCACACTCTTCTTGGCTGTATCCTCCAGAGACTGGATCACTTTCAGCCTTTGTTTAAAACGCATTTGTTCAATGTCATCTGCCTTCAAATTGCTAAATTTCTACAAGAAAGGAAGCAGACCAGGTCAACATCATCTCCTAAAGAAAGAACAACCCCTGTTCAGTTACATGTTCTTTAACAAGTGTACTGTCCCGTGATGATCTAAAACCCCTAGAAGCCTTTTACCAGCAGCAAAAAGATGAGAAAAAACTTGAGCTCTATTCCCTATTCACCCCTGTCCTACAAGAGAAGTCATTCAGAATTCATGAGAAATCCAACATCAGAGGTTTCTAAAGAACAGCTGAAAAAGCATGTCAGGACTGACAGAAATACAGGTCATGTACTGTGGCAGAGATAAGAGAACAGAGAGGCTGTCATTCCTTCCAGCCCTGTTTTTTAATAGGACCCATAAGAGATTCAGCTAGAAACACCAAAGTTAACAGGCTTTTCTACTGACTAGGTCAGACAAGCAAGATGAATTTGGTGACACTCTTTTATAAAAGAAACCGAGAACAAACAGAGATGGCAGGTTTGAAGAAACAAACAAAATACCCGGCAAAATTATAGCTGCCTGACTGTAAGCAGCTGGAAGGGGACAGGATGAAGAACAGAAGATAAGAAGGGAGACGAATCCACATTTACTACAGTGTAGCAGAGAAGAACTGTCAAACACCAGTTCTCTTGCCTGTGTTCTTTCCATCATTCAGATACAAATTTCTTATGAGTTTGTTCTCAGTATGAATAATGAGGTACACCTCCACTAGCGCAGAGGTATTTCAACAGCATGGGCACCATTCTCGGGTCACCTTCCTATTACTATAATGTGGATCCCAGAACAGGACTCCTGTGCACATGAACTGGGATGCTTCCATGTTTCTGCAGTATACCTGACAATTTTTACCCTGAATTTTCCTCCCCAACTCCCTAGCACTGACAATCCTCACATACAAGTAAGAATGGAGAGTTTTTTGGCAAAGCAGGAAGAAATCTCTTTTGCAGTCTTATCTGCAGTCTTCTCTACTGGTGGTGGGGAGATTCTTTGTAATCCACAACAGCCAACAGTGTTAGGCTCTTCTCATACCGAACAGGGGGATTAATGGCTTGAGCACCTCAAGCTATGAACACTGTTCAAATTCAGGCTCCACAAAGTATAAAACTGGATGTTAGTAGAGGAAAATCTCTTGGGCAAAAACTACGCCAGAACCTTACCTCATAGGATGTTTTGATGAGTTCAAAGATGTCAATTTCAAGTGGCGGGTCATCTCCACTCGTCAATAAGGCGTGCAAGTGGGGAATAGGGGGAGAGACGCTCTGTCTGTTAACTACGTTGTCCAAATATCTGTGGGGAAAAAAAGAGAACAGATGCAAGACTCCACGATTAGTGTCCAGAAAAAGAAGTAATATCCTAAACGCATCATTCCCAACTTCTTTGTATTATTAATCTAAACATGTAGGAAAATTTGATTTTTCCCAGCTAACCTGCAACGCTACCCTCAATGTATCTGAAGTAAAGTTGATTTTCACCCTATTTTTGGGGTATCTACTCTTTTTAAAGTGGGCTTCAAATAGTAAGCTGAAGATCTTGCTGCACATAGAAGAGATTCACATTTCAAACAAGGAAGTCTTACATTTACTAGACTTGGGAGATATCTGCTTGATAAAGTTTTATGTTTCTAGAATGCGATTCCTGCCAGGGTCTGTTCTTAATAGTAGATCAGAATTCTTCTGTGAGTTTCGGATAAACAAATCGGAGTTCATGGAATGCATTATGCTGCAAAGCAAACAATTCCAGAAATATGGAATTCCTCCATACTTGAGCGAAAAATTAATTTCAGCTGTTGTACCATTACTATTCAGTTATAAATAAGAACAATGAATGGTACCTGCCCAGAATAGTCATGGCTTCACCTTCATCACAGCACTGTAACAACTTATCCATGTTGGCATCAAGTATGGCCAATGACACCTGCAAGATAAACTTGATTCCCTCATAGAAAAAACAGTCAACAATGACCACGGCACTCTCAAAGGGCATGACACTGAGAAAAAGAGTGAGAAACCAGGAAAGGGATATGGTGGAAATCACTCCCAAGTCCTGCATCTTTTCTGACAGCTGTGGAAGATACTCTCGTGTAAGTTCTTCAAAGATGCCTTGGTCCACCAATGCACCTGGGAAAACAAACAAAAACAATGGTAGAACTCAAATTGGTGGTACCATGGTGCTGTACCCTGGCGGTATCATGGTACTGTACCCAAGCTAATCAATTATTAAACAAAACAGCGTAAGTTCACTTTAATTTCATATAAGCCTTTTAACATCAGAACTAAAATAAATATACATTTATTGAGATTTGTTCCCTGTTCTCAATAAAAACAACATATTTAGATAGAGACTATTCCTACATTGCAGAGCATGCAGAAACAGAATCTCTCATTGATCTATGCATTTTCCCTGAAAGGAGGGGTGGAGGATTACTGGTATTACAGTATGTACATCAAAGTATACTCTTTTATACAGACCAACTTTAAAAGCCCAAGAAGCGGTGCTTTCACTAACCTTTCCTGGGAGCCTATTCCAAAGATTTAATACATCATTCAGAAGGGTAAAAAATAACCCAATAATTTTCTTCTAGATATACCTCCTTACTGCTAACGGTCCCTCCTGCTACCAATTTTTAGTGACTTCATCTTCCTTGTTACTACAAGGTAGTACTACTACCTTGGTAGCCTGTAGTGTTTCTTCCTACGTCTCCATCACACACCTGCAACTTTAAAGGGAACAGGGTTGTGCTTCATCATCTTTAAAATGCATCACATTTAATTCACTCTGAACAACAACATGTTCCTGAGAGATGCTGGTGCAACTGTAGCTGAAAATCCAAGCTCCAGCATGAATTTGACAAAGACTCACCCACTACTCTTGTGTTGTAGTAATCTGGCAACATCCGCTCACATAAAGCCACTAGGAGCCAGAAAGCCTCTTCCTCATTGCAGTATAGCAACAGTACTGACGTAACAATGTTCATGGCCTACGAGCCGGCAGAGTTAAATATGCAGATATAGGAGAGAAACGTGAAGACGTTCATGAAAGCTCTGTCATTACAGACCAGCTAAACTTAAAAAGCACGAATACAGCAAAACTGTCACTGAGAGTCACATCTATTTCCAGCTTTTACTGGTATCTGAGTCAATAGATGACCTTGAGCCAATTTGCCTTCCTGTTTCAGTTCCTCTGTTTGTGAGGCAGCAAATAATATAACTACTTTTTGTCAAGCACTTTCGTTAATCAATGTGACTAAGTATAGTTTTCAAAGTTTTCATAAAAAGCTTTGTAACAATTTGCTCATAACAGAACAATATAATGAGAACCTCTAATACCAGAGCAATACACAAAATTAATCTGAATTTCCACTGAGTTGTTTCACAAATCAGCAACTGGCTTCATTTTCAATACACTGCCCATGTGCATCATCAATTATTCGATTTAATTGCTCTTTTTAATGAAACCAGAAGATGTTTTTGCTGAACTACAGGAAGCTCTAGCAGAAAAACTAGTAAAAGACACTGTCATTACACCTATGCGCAAAGTCTATTTAAATGCTTGTCCTGGTTTCGGCTGGGATAGGGTTAAATTTCTTGCTAGTGCTGTGTTTTGGATTTAGTATGAGGAGAATGTTGATAACACACTGATGTTTTCAGTTGTTGCTAAGTGCCCTGCTAGTCCAAGGACAGCTCCCATGCCTACTGACTGAGCTAGGTGCACAAGATGGGAGGGAACATCATCAGGACAGCCAGCCCAGCTGGCTAATGGGGTATTCCATACCATGTGACGTCATGCTCAGTATATGAATGGTAGGCGTGATCCAGGAAGTACCGATCGCTACCTGGTTATCGGTCAGCGCGGGTGGTGAGCAATTGCATTGTGCATCACTTATTTTGTATATTTTATCATTATCATTATTATTCTCCCTTTTCTGTTTTATTAAACTGTCTTTATCTCAACTCACAAGTTTTTCTCACTCTTACCCTCCCGATTCTCTCCCTGTCCCACTGGGGGGTGCGGGGAGTGAGCGAGCGGCTGCGTGGTATTTGGCTGCCTGCCAGGTTAAACCACGACAATGCTGTATCCAAAGGACAGTTAAGAGATCTTGCAACATCACCACTTCTTTCCTACTCTCACACCACCACATGGACAGCGTGAAGGAAAATTCTGAAACTGAACAAAAAACTGCAGAAAAAGTCCAAGTCAATCATGGTCACCGTGTAGGACTAACAAGTCTAAGACGACTTCTTACCTGACAGTACCCAATTGTTGGATTTCTGAATGCATAAGCTGTTAAGACTCTCCGGAGGGCAGCAATTCCCAACTCATTCTGGAAGGCAGGATGTTCTGGCATAGAACGGTGGAGATCTCTCTCAATTTCCTCTGTAGCAAGATTGTACTTTCCCATTGACTTTTCCACAAGATCTGCATAGTAACCAGGATGAGTCACCATCTCATTCCAAGCCCCTGTAACGACAAACAAATACTGCTTTACCTCATGAGCTTTGGAATACAGATTTTATGCCCACAGTTTCAAAGAGGCAGCCAGGAAGCACTACATGAACTCATCAACTACAAATAGATATGAAAGTATAGTAACAAACTCATTGTTAAATCATCATGTTAGAGTCTAGGTTGCAACACTGAAACACAGACAAAGGAGGCCAAAGAGCTACTATGCTCATAAAGAAGGTCATCTCAGGAATGCGATCACTGCATTTTTGGCAAAAACACCGTGAGGTATCATTCAAGTGGAGTTAACTTGTGATTAATTTATTCTGAAATGAGCTAAAATTTATACCTTTTCCTTTGAGATGTGCAGAAAGCTTATTCCTGCTAGCTGTCAAAGTATCCAGCACAACGTCCTACCTGAGAAAAGGAGCCACAGCTCTCCACGAAGATTCTCTGGGATTCCTTTTTGCACCAGCTCCCTAGTCTTGGCAGTGCGATACATACACATCCCTCGCCCATATTCAAAGAAATGGATGTTCCAAGACTCTTCCTTCATCTTCTCCTTTGCCTTCACAGGAACAAATATGGCCATTTTAGGAGATTAATGCATTTTTATGGTTGTAGGACTGGTGATTTCTGGGTATATTCAGGTCTACACTTCACAAGAGAACTGCATTGTGACATTTAAAGCCTTTCTT